TACCCCTGACGATCCCTCGTATTTACAGAGCGTAGATCCGAAGTCAGTCGCGAGACTTGACGTGACAGATCAGCCACCTCTTTCTGTCAGCGCAGCGATCTCCGCCTGCGACTGAACGAACAGGATAGACAGACGCGAATAGTCGGGCGTAATCGCCGCTCCTATCGGGCGCCACCTGTGTTGGTGGATGCGGGTGGGAACACACGATTCCTTGTTAGAAAGTTGTTGGCCCACCGTCATGTGAAGCAAAAGGTTCAGATCCTTGCCCAGTGGAAAGGATACCCGAAGAGTTTCGACTCTTAAAAAACGGTTGACGCGCTGCATGTCGACGTTCCTGGGCTGGTGACTGCTTACGAGCATAATCACCAGCTGTTTTCGCTCTGCTAGATCCTGATGGACTAGCAGAGGCAGCGTATTGAGAAGGAGTTAAGGGTATGATATCACCCAATATTTCCCTCGCACGCGTCATAGCGAAGCTGGTTCGCTGCGACCGCTGTTTCGCTGCATCTACATGCGGTGTAACACGGTGCAAAAAATCTGCCTCGTATTCGTAGGCTGTTTCGTTAAAACGCAGCACGACGGGGATAGGGAAAGCACGACTTAGTGCTTTGCCCCGTCTTTTTCATAATGGAAAGACGCATAAGAGTTTATTAGCGTCAACAGTGGCACGCTCGAGGAGCGTCGCACTTTTCCCACTTTAGCGTGGCCACTAGAATGGCGGTGGCATCACTGGCAAACCATCACTCACGTAGCCGCCCTCGCGACGGCGTGCTATTGAGGCCGACTGTGACGTCGAAGGAGTTTTTACTCACCCTCGTCTGATTCTGACTTTCCATTATGGATTGCCAAGACGTCAGACGTAGGGTTGACAAAGGCGATCGATTTAGAATCGCCGATCTGCTGTTGAGCCGCGGCTGTTTCTTTCGAAGCAGCGCGCTCAGTTGTGGTCGCTTCGCGTGTTGGCGCAGACGACGAGGCGTGATCCTCGCTGTCAAAAAGCATGGAAGCTTCCTAAAGGTTGGGTGTCTATAATGATGGGGACAGATGTCCCATCAAAGCGCTGTTCTCATCATCACTTTGGGCAATGGCGTGCTCTCATTCTCGTCAGCAATTAGAGACAGGTCATCATCCGCACCATAGTGGGATGGATTAATTTTCTCTGCTGACAAGCTGACATTAAATGTCGGCGTTGTCACAGAGACACTTAGCGACGGCTGCGAGTTATCGCGGCGCGTGCGCTTTGTGTTGGTATGCATGGGCGCCTTTGCAGGCGACCCATTAGCCTTACCACGTTTCAATGGCATCTTCTCGTTGTCGATGTTTTACAAAATTTCTAAAAATCGTCTTATAAAGGGAGATGGTGTAACGGGCTAATTGTTTCACGGTTTGTTAAGTATCAAATACTTAACGGGCAGGCCTAAATGGGTAAGAGGTACCTTAGACCTGCCACTTGGGTGTGGTACATCAATGTGACCCACCCTCGTGAATGTGGTATCCATGGACGGATTCGCATTCAACGGGGATGACCCCACTTGGGACTAGGCGTCATGGTGACGCTTCAGACGGACGTCATCAGCGAGCTTAAATATATTTAGAGCTCACACGTAAGGATGCGCTTCGAAAGAGACGCGTATCCGATCTTTACATTTAACCAATCAGTAGTTATATGAACATTAGTTATTTCGATTGAATACAAGTCAGTCTTGAATTTACTGCATCACACTCACTGCGCACGAGAAGCTGAATAAGCTTCTGCGTGTCGTAAGTGAATCCCTTGTCTTAGTAGCTCGTTGCGCGGTTCGCTTTAAGCGAGTGGCAACGGCTGGTACAGCGCTGTAAGCGCCGACCAACACCGCACGCGGAGGACAAGACGGTCTTGCTGCTCGAAGGTGTGTGCTCGTATCACGTGGTAGCTTCTTTTGAAGTGCCCGTCTACATCACTAGAGCGTGTCTTACAGAGTTGTCTTTCGCTAATAATGCTATACCATGATGCTGAGTATGAGGAGCGGCGTATCGAAGTCTCCCTGTATTCTGTGCCACATTCCGTACTCGCGACCACTAGCACCATTTTCCAAGAGGTTGAGACTAGTGTTGGTCGTTTTAGATTTTACTTTGTTATCTTACCTTGGCTGCGCAGTATGCGGTTGGTTCGTTGTGGTGCATGTAAAAGTAAATGGTTCCAGAGATGAAGATCGCGTCCATCGAGCCTCCTACTGGTCTTGCCATGATGGGAAAAGGAACATTTATTCATGCTTGATTTTGTCTTCAGCGCAGGAAAGGAACCGGTGACGTGAATGCAACGATCGTGTTCGACGCTTTACCATTTATTGAATACGAGCTCTATCGGCAGGTAAGCTCTTGGAGCATCGTGAGTTTGCATTGCTGCTGACATGGAAGCATAACTAACGTGTTGACTTCTCTTTTAGCTTATCGCTAAGATAACAGTACTTGGCGTGAACGCGGTGTTTGCATTCGACTCTCAGATTCAAGTCGGCGGCTTATAATCGGTGTCATCACTAGAACTGGTCTTTATCTTCCTGCTCTCCCTCCTCCTCCAACGCTTTGACCCGAGCAAAACATTGATGTAGATTTATGTGCTAGTTTTTCGTGTTAATGGAAACTCCATTCTGACCCAAACACGATCAGGTAAGATGATTCTTTGAAATTCTTACTGCATACTTATCTTTAATAATTTTTGAGCTGATGTTAATATATAAAAACTAATATTTTTTAATTTATCAAATATTAATTTCTTAGGAAGGTCGACGGTTTGTTCAATTTCAGACACAAATCAAAAAGCTTAGCACATTCAACACGGACAGATTTTGAATTTGTTCTAAAAATTATTAACGCTCAACAACCTCATCATTTCTGTATTCTCTATTCGTCTTCGCTCGATGTACAGACAGCTCCATCGCGATCGCATTGGCCCGAGCACAGATATTGTACTGGAAGAAGAAACGCGCAAAGCCAACTTCAGGCCTTATTCCAAAGTAAAACAGTTGCTATTTTCCGTGCGCAGTGCGTTCGTTGGGTGGCAATGCCATGCTGACCTTCCGTTTCGTTTTCCCGTTGAGCTTAGCTAGCTGTATCGCAACCAAGTGTATGGCATGATTAGCATTACTGGTGACGTCGTTATGATTATGCGTGAAATGGACAACAATATCGCATATCCGTTTAGCCTCTAGAAACCCAAATCTCCACACGCCAGTAGAGATGAACTCTCCTGACGACATTTTTGCTAGCGTCACAATTAACAAGTAATGAATGTATCCTCAAAGTCACTCATCAATCGCCACGCATTTGGACTCGTAGTCTCCAGACTCACCATCGCTACATCATCATCAACCGAGTATTCAATCATGACAAACAATAACCAAATAGACCGAACAATTGTCAATAGCCAACACCCTATGCCTTCACCACCACAACAAAACAATCACGACACGACTCCACGCTATACACTATATCTATAGCTGACTCGAAAATTTGGTAGCTTGATCAGGATTAGTATCAAGATATCAAGATTAAGTTTAAGTTTAAGTGTCGCGTTCAAAGCCATGATACTCTTGCTTGATACTGAATACTACATTGCTGTCAAATACTCAACAGCATTAGACTCGCTCTTCTATGTTTGGTCATGATCGCAAGCCTGTTCTCAATGCCAAGTTAAGCATTTTGCATGAAAGGACATACCTCCTGGATAAAGTAGCAGCTAAATATGTCACCATACTATTCTCTCTATTGTATACAGCCTGCGACTACTTCGAACAATAACTCGGATGCGCTTAGATCTGAAGAAGCAGCTTACGACTTTTGGAAGGGACTGAATGTGTTCGAGATGCATGCGATCTTGCAGTATGCTAACCTTGCAATTGTAAATGTGCAGTAGCTCTAAAATTCAGCACATATTGCTTTGGCAATAAACAAGCATATATATGTAAGGCTTGGTTGCGCCGCCGAGCTGGAATTGCGCCATTGTCGTCTTACGGAAAGAAAAGGTAAATTCTAGGGCATACAGAGACCGAGGAAGCGAATCTTCACTACCAGACGATTCTGCAAAAACGGCATTGCAGAATGTGTCTTTACTGTTGCAGATGCCGTCTGCGGAGTTTCGTGGTAAGTGTTGTACGCGAGCTACTACTATCTTAGCTTGTTTGTTAAAGCGTCAGTCACTTACAAGTCAGTGTGATAATCTTGCCTCTGAAGACGTACCAGATCACAGTCCATAAGATGATATTCTTTGCGAGTGGGATGCAGGTACGTAGTGTAAGGAAAATGGCTGAATGTGAGCTTGGTCATACTGCCCGCAACGTACGACAACGCTTCGAGCACAAAATGTTAGCAATGAAGAACCAGTCCACGCATGAGACCAGTAACCAGTATGACATCGCTTCACTGCATTATAGCAAGATCTCTTCCACTCTAAAACGATGAATTTCTGCTTTTGACCAGCTGGAAGGTCCTGATGCTCTTGACCAGCTGAAAGATCCTGATGCCTCGACCAGCTGGAAGGTCCTGATGCTCTCGACCACCGAGTGAGACTTGTGAAAATCTGAAAAGTAAGGCACAAACCGAGCATGTGGCATGTTGTCATGCGATTTTGTTTCCTCTATTCCGTCGAAGCATTCAGATGTCAAGTTCAAGTGCGTATGTGTAAGTAAAGCGTAGCACGAGTAGTTCACCGCCTGTCGAGGACTTGGTGTGGACCATGTCGCCTTATGGCTCTAAATTGCATCGTGGCAACAACAAAAATAGCACTTGTACGGTCCAGCCAATTGCTGTTGACGGGCAGCTATTTATGGTCATCACTACGGCTGGAAAGATGCTGAGGTAGGTGTCGAGTACGTCAGCCCAGGTCAGCATATATATTGATGGCCGCCATCCGAAACTCTATCGAAACGGCCGCCTCGTAGACAGATTAGAACTCACTTTTCAATTTCCTCGTGCATTCACGTTGATCCGGGGTTTTACTTACCTCCATACTTTACACAACTACCATGTCACTGGAACCTCTCTCAGTATATGCTGCTCGCACCACGGATGATTTGGAGCCACTTGACTCCGAGCTACTTATGTTGATTGCTGCTGATGATGCTGATACTTTTTTTCCAAAGGAGGTTGAGGTCTACAACAAGGAAATTGTCGACGACTTTGCACCTTTAAACCCTTTGTCAATACCGATGGCAGTGGACGCGTTCAACCCTGGTTTCTCACATCTGGAAGTGCTAGATCTTATGAATCTTCTCGCACCAGAGACTTTAAAAATGCCGACCTTTGTCCGAAGCTACTCGGAGCCGATCAAGAAGATAAGCAAGCGCAGTAAAAAGTGCACGTACGCTGCTCGAAGGGTTCGTACGAACATCCTCTGTACATGCAGTTTTCAATGATGAAGACGCTAACTTTAAAACTGTTGTTATATGAATACAGAGAGAGGTGGCATTTCTTCGCCAGGAGTCAGTAGTGCTTGAAATACGCCTGAATGAAATGCGCAAGAATCACTTTGCGTCACCTCGAACACGTGAGCAGGCTGACCGTGAAACGTACAATCTGGCAAAGTCCAAGGAGGAAAACCAGCGCCTTCGTGCTTTGGTATCGAATCAAGAGGCCAAGATCCGTCAAGCTGACGCGTATATGGTCAGTGTCAACCACCCCCAGCAATCCGATTCAATGCTAGCACACCTCCTTACGAAGAAGGTGTGCCTTTTTGAACCGATCTAGCTGGAGTTTAGTTCGAGTGTAATAGTCTGCCGAGTAATGTGCTTAATGTTTATAAGATTGTTGTTGATCCCCACGATTGGGTTTCGTTGTTTATTACGATGTCAATGACAATGACTTGTGCTTTAAAAGACGTTAGACTTCGATGCTGTTGTCCTTGCGTACAGTAGTAAATCCTTGTAAATATCGCTTAATCTATTCGTGACAGGAATTCACATTGATCCGCCTGCATTTAAGCAGCTTCGTGCCAACAGACTGCAATACTAACATGTAGATTAAGTCTGATGAAGCTGTTGGATGTGGCTACTTAGACTGTGTTTAGAGTTGTGAGAAAACTGAAACTACCTCTCCTACTAGGTCGCCACCGCAACTATTTGCTTCATCACTCGACCATCCATTGTCGGCACTACCGCTACCTGAACTACGACTACACTATCAAGGAAGGAACTGTTCATATACCTTTTCCCTCGTACAATACTCCCGACAGTCTCATTAAGGGGCAATAATAACAACTTAAAACGTTGGCAAGGAGTTTGGCAAGCTTATGGCCGAGATGAATGCAAACCGGTTTACGCGTCGCTTCGTCAAACTTCATACAATAGCGGACGTGTACCAGTTATCATTATCGTGAAGCTATCGAACACGGGGCCTCCTGAAGACATCAATCTCACGGCAGCAGGTGCTCTAGGAAACACCTTCGCACCCTTGAGAAACTCTCTTGCCGATGCTTTCACACTGTTTAGCTTAGACCATTTAGAGCACAATGAGGGCGAAGTGTTTTTTTTTCAATATTGTCCATTACGGTTGCGCCATACGGCTACCATGCACGAGCTTGACGACACACTGGCTTTGCACCGGCTGCATCGCTGGTAAAACAGGTTTGTCTGTATTTGTATATGTGTTTTGTCTTCCGCATATCTAGGACATCTGAAGCATCGAATGCTTCGAGCAATCGTTGGCAGGAGATTTCATTCCCATAGACGAATTTCTCTGCACGTGTTTTGTAGTCTTACCGACCCTACCAAGCTCACGTGTTCCAGTTTTCCATATTGCGAGCATTTCGATCGTATGAGTCCACAAAATCAGATGAACCTCACTTTATTTCGTGCTTACTAAGATGATAAAACGCCGATCTTAATTTGACGCGATCGCCATAGGCTTCTACACCGCTAAACCAGCAAGTGCGACAATGGCATCCCTTCTTACGCTAGCAAACGCTCCATCGTTTGTTGCATTAGCGCACTGAAAGCCTTCTGCTCCAGTTTAAGACATACCTTCGTGGTACCCGTGTCGTCGAATGTGAGCTCGAAGAGTGCCACAATATTCGTCATGGTCTTGACCGAGAAGTACGCAATTGTCTTTCCGTCGATGGACCGCTTGGCTACGAAAAAAACGTTGTTGTGCCCCAGACGCCGTGACACGTCGTCTACGCCACATCCACCCGTTACCAATGTAAAGTAGTGCTCGTTCGCTTCGGCGATACTCTGCCACATGCTGATAAACTCGGTCGACGCCATGCTGCCGGCCTCGGTAAAAACAGCCGAAAGATCTAATTCGGACTGGAAGTATACCACGTCGCCACTCGAGTTGTTCTTGATCGCAACCTGCAGATTGAGGTTCGGTGCCACAGCGGCGTTGACAAACTGCGGGCTCACACTCATGGGCACAACTTGGTTTACGGTTTGTCCCGGTGCCAGAGGTTGTGGGAACGTGATTGTTGCTTGCATTGGCACCACACCGAACGTGCTCTTGTTGAGCTGGATGCTTACTCCCGTAATTGGCGCAGATGACTGGTTTTTAAAATCCACGTCAAGTACGAAGTTGCTACTGCGGCGTGTGAAAGCGCCCGTCATCACCAGGCCCTTGCCTTGTTGCGCATCCATTAAAAGCTTTTTCTGGACTGCATCACCTCTGACTCCCACTGGAGCAGGCGGAGCAGCAGGGCCACCAAAAATGTCGACCAAGCTTGCACTAGCTGACGTTGCTGACACAGAGTCCGACGCAATCGAGGAAGGGTCTCCAAGAGTAAAAGTACCCATATCAAGCAGGTCCACGGGGTCACCAGCCTTCTGACCGATTCGTCCATCTTCTGTCTGGTCGGAAGAGCCTTCACCCTCACCCTCACCGTCGACGCTGTAATCACCATCCTGGCGGTGCCCGTGTACCTCCGGTACTGTCGAACGCACAACAAACGCGCTGGGTAACTTGTGATAGACACTAGCAAGCGTCGAAATCTTTCCGATCAGCTGGTCCAAAACCGAAGGCTCAAGGGCACATGTATCATCGCTGATTACTGGCTTCTCCGCAAGCACAACAGCGTGGGCTGCTTCTGGATTGGCCGAAAGTAGGCGCCAGTATACGTAGCCGCGGTCACGCAAGTCCGGATTGTCTGATTCCTCCGTGGCTTTGTGGAGCACCTTCTGGACCATTTCCTGCGTCTCATTGGGACGCTTGAGGAACAGTTTCACGGTAGCAGTCAGAAGCTGCAGCTGCACCTGGGCAGTCTCATCATTGAAAGAGTCCATGAACGACTCTAAGAGCTCGTCTGCATTGTCGATACGCTCGGCATACTCACCGATAATCCAAATCATTGATGCCTTCGCCTCGGGCTCGTCCAGTGTATCCAGGTTCTCGCATAGGGTAGCAATAATGCTCTCGTACTGGTTTGGATACTTGCGGAAGATATCCTTGATCACAATGATAGCCTCCTGCACGATGTAGTTGACCTTGGTCTGAATAAGCTCCAGCAGCACATTGATGCACTTCTCCGCAGCACGTTCAAGCTTAACAGCACATCGACCAATCGCACGTACCGAACGGCGCACAAATTCCACATCCACCTCAGTGGCGTATTCCTTGAACTCAAGCAGCACCTGTTCAATATTGCGCTCCGAGACAAGACGGATGATAATTTCCAGCTTCTCCATTTTGACATAGATCGGATCGTTATACTTGCAGAAGAACACCTTAATCTCGTTCGCTAAGATTGCTGGACGTTTCTGCACAATCAGGTTGATATTACGCAGAGCCACGTACTGGATCTCAGGCTCAGCCGACAGCAGCGTCACGAGCGGAGGGGCCATCTTACGCGACAGACTGCGTTCCGTATCAGCGTCCGAGACTTTCTCGAGGAATGTCATAATGACCTTGACTGCCGAAAGCACAACGGCCGAGTTAGCGTGCTGGAGACGTGGCGTCACCCGTTCAATAATCCCTTCTGCCTCGCGAGAGTCCGCGGGCATATATCCTGCCAAAGCATCGAGCACAAAGACCTGTCCCCACTCATTGCACTCATTGAGTGCCGCCAATAGTTTTTGCAACACGGACTTGGTAATCTTGAAAGCCGTTACTCCTGCACTGTTCTCTGAGATTTCGGACAAAGCTGCAATGGCATTGGCCACTACCGTTGGATTTGAGTCCGAAATAAGGTCTCGTAACATATCGAGAAACCCTTGTACCTCTACCATATCCGGATTGATATCATAGAGCTTGGAAACACAGATGGCCGCCGTCTTCCGTACGTACGGGTCTTCATCTTTCAAGCAACGACGTAGAGGCTCACACAGATACTCTGTAATGCGGTCCACACGAATGCAGCCCATGGTACGGACCGATAGCGCTCGAATAAGTGGATTGGAATCTGCTGCGTCTTTAACAAACGTATTCACGGCCAATATCGTGAGGTCTGGATTACTCTTTGCATAGTTAATCAAGTACAAATACACGAGTTTTTTCAGCTGTGTATCAGCCGTTTGAATACAGTTTACAACGTCTGTAAACAGCATCGAAACGTCTTTTCCTACTGTCATATTTGCAATCACTTTCTTTACAGCATCTTTCTTCTTTTCACGACTTGGATTGGCTAATTCTTGACGCAACTCATGAGTCTCACCTTTTTTCGTCGTGCTAAAGAACTTGGAGTCATTTGCGGCGCCAGTCATGCGCTTGGCAATCGCAGCCATCGTAGGCAATGCCATGCTGGATCAAGAGGGGCGGGACTGGAGATGACGCGGCCAAAATTGCACTAATGGAGAATTGTGATTGGTACAAAATCAGAAATTCAAAAATGACCTATTTGACTGTCTGAACTAAGTGCGATTACCGTGCGAGAAATAACCGGCATCTTTTTACTAACCATCCCCCCCACATATTTATAAAAATCGCATTAGTCCCAAGTCAAATTTAACTTTCATCTCTGCCTTGTACCACGCAGCTTGCCTATGCTTTTCTGGAAGTAGAGCCTCCATGATACGCTTATGCACATGCAAGAAGTTTAGTTCTTGCAGTCATACACACAAAAGGATCGGCAATACGAAAGAAAGTGACGTTAAAGCTTTGTTGGTCTTTATGCGCTAGATAGATAGACGGAAGACGAGCTTGCTTCAAAGTAACGGATTGGCACTGATGTTAAGTGCCAATGCGAATAATATCTTAGCTAACAATATTATCAAATATTATTAGCAAACCATATTTTCTTAGCTAACAATATTTTCAAATATTATCTTAGCTTACAATATTTCTAAATATTATGTTTGCTTACAATATTCTCAAATATTATTGCAGCTTACAATACTAAAATAATTGTCTAGCTAGCAATATTCAAAAGTATTAGTATTACTTAATATTATTTGAGTTAGCAATATTTACAAACTATCGTAACTAGATTTATTAAAAATATTAGTAATATTTAAAATATTAACAGAATCGAAACATTAGTTCAGCTATTAATCTCAACAATGTTACCTCTTAAGATAGTATTGTCGACGCATCTTCTTGAGGCTAAACATGTCCTTCTTATTGGCTGATATAGGCCATGATATCAGCCAACGCGCTGACCAATGAGGGATGGACGCGCGCAATGAATGGAGGACACGAAGGCAACATACATGTTTGTAGTTTAGATATAATTAGTACAAGGAAGGATACAAAAGCTTTAGTTTAGGGAGCCGCTATGGCCAAAGACGTTAATACTACGACCACAGACAAACTACTTCGGCCACAAACAATTGGCTCAGCCAACCACAGCTCAACAAACACAATTGTAATTACGCACTCCAGCCAATTAAATTACTTTTTTACTTGTACACACGCACGTTAGCTTAACACTAAAGCACCGCTACATGCCAAGCTATCAGCCAGCAATGGACGCGGCAATGTATGATATATTCTCTTCAGAGTGAGGAGATACCAACTCAAGCAGGTCATCACGCAACCAGTAAATTAAAGTACTGTCGTCGTCCTTTGACTTATCGGCACCCAATGTCACGAAAGCACGTAGAATTTGTGAGCGAGGAAGATCACGACCTCAGGCATACAGCGCTTCTTCAAACACATCATGTCCAGCGATAATGAAGCGGCCTCTTTCTGACTTCAGAAATGTGTAGCTCCGATACATTTAGTTTGCACTTGTAGTAAACCTGAGCTGTAAAGACTGGCCCTCTGTAAAGATGGAAAGTCCCAATCACCTCTCCGAGGCGCAACGACTTGCGCTTGATAACTCATTAGCGTTAATTGAAACCGACCAAATCGATCACATATGGCCCAAGGTCTGGAAGTGCTTGCCGCACGTTTTAAGGTCTTTGTGCATTACGAGGCAACGTTGATCGGGCCATGTAGCATCGACTATGACATTCCGGTGGACAATGAAGATCCAAAGGCTCGCCCGCTTGTGTTAAGCATTTAGATCTTCGAGGGGAAAGAGGGGGGAAACTCCTTCTATGGATCCGAGAAGTTGCAATGGCGATAAACGGTGCCATGCATAGGTCTGAGCAGCAACGGGTTGGCTTGGCTACTTCCAAATTGGGTGACAGGATCAAGGAATGGGCATTAACCTGTGATGCGTCTATAGACGCCGCGTTCCCCACAAGGGATTTGCTTGAGCAGCAGATTTCTCGTGTCACCGCCTAATCAGGCATATCGCGTGCACTCGCGCTTCTTAGCTTCCAAGCCAGGGGCAAGGAGGGATCGGACTATGTTTCAGAGTTGAGAACTCTCCTTACTGCTATGCAAATGGAACCTCTTCCAAAGGAAGTCCGGGTGACCATTTTTATGGAAGGGGTCCGCATGAAATTGTCAGGGAGGAAGTCTTCCGTGTTGCCCTTCGACCTTCGAGGAGGCGGTCGACGTAGCGTTGAACGCCGAGTTTAACTTTAAAGTGGCTAGCTTCGGTACCAATGGGTATTCTTTGAGCTCACTTGATAGGGCAGAGCCCATGGATCTCAGCTATGCTGAGGGTGAAGAAGCTGAGCTTCAAGCTGCAGAGCAGCAACGTCACATTCGTAGATGGTACATGCGCGAAAACTCAATGCGCCTCCACCCAAGCTGTCCGTTGCGTAAGAAACGTCAGAATTGGCAAGCCGTAACAACGTTCCGAGTCGAAAGGCTGGTTTGGCGAGGGAAATCGTCGACCCCTAGTATGCGCGGGCGCCCTACTGGGGAAGAACTAAGTCTGTGGAACCTCTAGAAGGTAGAGGTGAACAGAGCACAGCCCAGACAACTTCGTGGAAGATCCCACGGAGCGTGAATACAATCCAGGCTTGTTGGTTGTGTCGGCATCCGTTAAGGGTTGTAAAAAGACATGGTCAATGTTAATTGACTCAGAGGAGTCGGGTAATTATGTCCGACGTCGTTCCTTAAAGGGAGTCGGATGTATGCTGAAGCGCTTAAAGCGCAAGAGGTAATTATAATACAATTATTTTCGCGACTAGTGCTCGTGTCACCGTTCCTAACACTTCGTCGAACTTAGGGGTGAAGTTTTTGGGCTTCAATAGCATCGAACGCTGTCTTTTCCTATATTTGGACTCGAAGTATGATCACATTCTCGGGTGGCTTGGCTTGAACGCTACGAGTCATAGATCGATAGGAGGTCCGAAACCGTAGGCGCTACGGATAATGTTCTTATTGAAGCTTTGGTGAGTCATGAATCCACTTTTCAATAGGAAACATGAGCACTATTGGTGCGACCCACTGACCAAGTCCGTTAGTGTGCTGGATATTGGTGTGTCTAAGTTACTAGACACCCATATCAACAATAGTAGTGTCATGCGATGCTCACTGACACAAAGTGATACGGAACTTATTCCGTCGAGTGATACTTTTAGTGATAACGAGTCACCAAATGCTGAAAACTTTGTTGGCCTAGAGCCGAGTCATCAAGGGCTGCGCCCAAGTGATGCACATAGAGTGGATGTATACATCCACCGAGTAAAGTTGGCTGTAATAGGGACTCACTGGATTTTTGGCAATGACATCGTTTCTCGAATATAGCAGCTAGGATCGAAGACCTTGGTTGTGATGTTAGCCATGAGAGCGACTAACTGGATGTCAGTAATTAGACCGGCTCTCGTATAGACCCGGATGAGGTCGAAGAGCTGATTGACCTTGGGGATGTACCTTTTGCAGAGGCTTGTCTAGTCTGAAGGGCCGCTTTGAGTTGCTAAAACGATTTGTTGGGGCTATGCTACCAACAAATTGTTTTAGTAACTCAAGGCGGCACTCCCAGGCACAGCTCAAGTTGCGAGTGAATTCTCCATTATCAAAGCCGAGAAGGACGATTTCAGAACTGTCATCACCAACTTCTCGAGACAGAGCTTGTATCAGAGCAAGCAGGTTGCATTGTTTGCCTCACTGTAAGCAAAAAATTGCAGCAGATTAGGGTGCATATAAGTCTATAAAATGTTTAGTGTCGGGCCATAAATAAGTTATATATGGATTGTATCGACGAAACCATATATAAAGAGGCCTAGTCATTTCCGATACGCTACGGTATTACCGATATTATACAGTATCTCCATACTAAATTCCTCCGGAAGGAGAAGTACCAATAATACAATTTTATGTAATATGATCTGTTATCCAACCGTGATGTAACTACATTTTCAACGGTCGTGTAACTCCATTACAACGTGGCAGCTTGTAAAAGCGCCCACATAGACTTGATGAGCAAATACAATGCTGTAGAATCGGGGAAAGAGCAACTAAACATTCGGCTGAACAAGGATCTTTCTGCTGATCAAGTGTTCGAGAATCTGGGACTAAATACAAACGACAATGGTGTCTTACTCATCCAGTCTTCAATCATTAGTATACCTACTTTAAATGGGTCAATGTACAAAAGAAAAGGTCATCAACGTTTTGGCATTAAGCAAGAGGACAAGCTTCAATTTTTTTTCAAGGATGAGGTGGAAAAGGCAAACTTTGGAACAAAAAGCAGAGTTGATGAGCTGGTCGTGGAGGTAAGACTATAAGGGTTGAGGATGGCCTATTACTGATCCACTCTACAAATTTTGGTGTGCCTGCTTAATGCGGCACAATCTCACAAAGAGTGTTGTCCAATCTTTGCGAACCGTTTACGGCGTCAAAGGCTTAGTCGACCTAGTCCATGCTGCGCAAAAGGTCAAGAACTCCGCAAATTACGCTACAGGTTTAAATAACGGTTTATGTGCGATCTGAGTGTTAAATGGAAAGTCAATATGTTTTTAGGTAAGTGAAATCTGTATAAATTGTTGAAAGAAGAGGGCAATCTGGTTGAGATCTTTCTTTTTGTCAATTTTATGAAGAACGCGAGTGTTTATTCCAGAACGAAAAGACTTGCAACAGATGACAAATTAGAAGTGATTGTATCAGATATTGAATGAAAACTGCTAAAAACTGACCCAACAACCATGGTAAATTACGTAGATCGTACGACTGTGGAAGAGCGGCTAAACAAATTTCGTGGAGTGGAGATCGCGATCCAAGTTATGTGGACCACACACCCAGGATCGGTCGCGATCCAAGGCTGAGCGCGATCTGACTCAGAACCGCGATCCAAGACTGAGCGCGATCCGACTCAGAAACGCGATCCGACTCAGAACCGCGATCCGAGGCTGAACGCGATCCAAGACTGAGCGCGATCCAAGGTAAACCGCGACCCGACTCAGAACCGCGACCCGAGGCTGAACGCGATCCGACTCAGAACCGCGATACGAATCAGAAC